GTTAAAATCCTTTGTACTCATAAACCACCATTTATCCAAGGGCATCGTGAGACCCCACCTAGAATACTGCGTTCAGCTCTGGAGTCCCCAACACAAGAAGGACATGGAGCTACTGGAGCAGGTCCAGAGGAGGGCCACGAAGATGATCAGAGGGCTGGAGCACCTCTGCTATGAAGACAGGCTGAAAGAGTTGGGGCTGTTCAGCCTGGAGAAGAGAAGGTTCTGGGGTGATCTTATTGCAGCCTTCCAGTACTTAAAGGGGGCCTACAAGAAAGCTGGAGAGGGACTTTTTACAAGGGCATATAGTGACAGGACAAGGGGCAATGGCTTTAAACTGAAAGAGGGTAGATTTAGATTAGATACAAGGAAGAAAATTTTTACATTTGAGGGTGGTGAGGCACTGGAACAGGTTGCCCAGAGATGTTGTAGACGCCTCATCCCTGGAAGTGTTCAAGGTCAGGTTGGATGAGGCTTTGAGCAACCTGATCTAGTGGAAGGTGCCTCTGCCCATGGCAGGGGGGTTGGAACGAGATGATCTTTAAGGTCCCCTTCCAACTCAAACCATTCTACGATTCTATACTCAATGACCTTCCAAACTACTTCATCCATTAGCGAAACAAGCCTTCATAGTTAAGGGCAGAAACTATGTAAAAATATATAGAAGATGCTAGCAACGAACGCTACTGCGGACAACTTGAATCAACTTCTAATTTTCAGGAACTATGCTCTGTACCTAACCCAAGTACCTGGTTTAATACAGAACATTCATCTTTTACAAAATGATTCCTTTTAAGCTATTTTTAATTACATACCTGTAAATTAAACACAACATCACGTAGTTTCATCAAAAGCCCAAATGCCAGAACTTTTACTTCCTCAAAAGTACTGGCAAAACATTGGATCAAAGTTCGGACACGAGTAGAATCAATCTCCTGATCTAACTGAAAAACTTGTGCCTGACCTGTTAAAAAAAAAAAAAAATCAATGCCTCACATAGTTTTGTTGTGATTCTTTCCAGAATAAGCACTGTATTCACATTTTGCTTAGCTATATTAAAAAAAAAGCATTAAAATAAAATTTTAGCCAAAGCATTATTTTAATATTACTTCTCTTAATAGGTATTAATATGCCATATTTACTGTTGAAAAAAAAAGGTTACCATATCCCAAAAACTACTCTCAGTAATACAGAAAGCAACTTACTGCTAAAAACACAATCTCATTTATTCACATTAAATTCAGCATGGAAAATAACCTTTATTTTAGCTTTGCTTAAAAATTCTTTTCCTGGAAGTATGTAATGTTAGAAAATAATTCCTCTCAAAAAAGGTTTAAAACTTCAGTGTGTTTTGGCCCTTGGTTTTTGAGGTTCTTTTTGTCAGAGGAATAATCCCCTAAAATGAAAGTCATTACAATATTTTGCTTTTAATTTAGGCTTAAAGGAGCCATGACTTCTGGCGACTGACCTAATGCTGTAAAAAAGCCAAACATTTTAAGATAGTAAACAAGTGCACCACATTCCAGCACAGAACACAACAGTAGTTAAATCTCCTTTGTAGAAGAAATGTCAGCCTTCAGAAATCCTAAAGCTGCTACTGTAAACAACTCTCAATACAAGTTTCTTTAAAAAAACAAAAAGGCAATAACAACATACCACAGACTCGTAACAGACACATTAATGTGTTCATGATTAATCAGGGGGTTTGAGAAAAGATGCACCAAGAAAGCATTTTTTCTTCCCTCTCAAAATCAAATTTTATCTTACATGTCTCATTTCTTAAAAAAGTTACAATTCAAGACAGAAAACATAAAAGTATGTTGGCTATATCACCCAGAGACAAGATTTACCAAGGCTATTAATATTCCAAAGCTTTAACTAATACTTCTTGAATTGGGCTGTGAAGAAAATTTAAAATAACAGCAGCACAACATCATAAACAAATTGTTTCTTATTTAGTATAATAAATAATGAGAGAAGAGTATGCAAACTTTTTCAATCTAGAGTTTTTAAGGTCTCAATGTTTAAATTATCTATTATTAAGATGATGGAACAGGAAAAGGGGTAAATATATTGAGTCTTGTTCAAGAGTTTTCTTCCTAACAACAAAAATTCATTTAAATCCTTGCTAAAAACAGGCTATGTAAGAAAATCCCAATTTATGGAAGATATTCCACAGGATACAAATATTTGTATTTACTTCAATATTCCATTTTCCAGTAAAACTTACTATCCTTCCTTCAGGTAAAATGAAAGCGACACAGGAAATGCCATAGAAATCAAGGACTAAGAATACCATTTTACTTTTACAGAAATCGACTAGCTGGCATAAAAATATCTCCAACACCTCCCATTCCTACAGCCTATAAATTAGGATTCTCACCTTTTGGAACAGAAAATATTTCTGCTATTGATCCTAAAATAGTTAGTGCAGAAAATCTGGTTGGGTGCGATGAACCAGGAAACAGTACCTCAAAAAGTCTGTCACATACAGATGACATGAAATCCTGAAAATCAAGAAAAAATTTAAAGATAGTTTATTTGCTGCCCTACAAACAAAAGTCTAAGCAACTCAATTCAAGGCATTCTGCCTTACATGTTACCCAAAAAATTATGACCTTACAGTTAATTTTGGAAGATGAGAGGCCTACTACTTTGTAGCAACAAGTTTCTTGTTTTCTAGAGTACAGTGAAGGCTGGACAATCATTTGGTTTTGTTTTTTTTAAAAAAAAAGTTTCCCTTTCCCATAAAAAGATGGCCGTTGTATCAAAACCTTGAAAATTAGTTGAACAAGAAAAGTAGAACTCAAGACAAGAAACAGTTTAACACAAAGAAAACTGATTATGTGAGCCTTCCAATAGAAAAAAAAAAAAGGACAAATACAAAAGACGTCTTCATACAGAAGTCTTCACACTGAAGCTCTGTCATTCATTCTCTCACTGATCATTCTGAAGAGCTAGAAAAAGGCTGAAGCTCAACAGATCTCTGTTTTAAGTCCAGGTAACTTAACATTTGCTACTAGACTGCCAGCAGCTAACAGGATGTTTACCTGAAAATTTTATTTTGTATTGAGGGTACATCTCCAGTCATTCCTCACTGCTGTTTCACTTCACATAATGGAGCAAGCCCTCAGAAAATAACCTTTACTGCTTTTGAAAAAAATTAACCTTAAAGACACCCTCCATATACTAATGGGCACTCAGTTCATGAGACAACAGTGCATTTAGTCAAAATTAACTTGGGCTATGTGCGTACAGAGTGGACAAGGTCCTCAGTACTCTTTTGCTTTAGAGGTTTCTTCCCTCTGCACTGCGCTATTTCCTAACACAGACACAGATTAACCTACTCAGAGGTGTAAGAACAACGAACTATCTTTCAAAAACGCTATCTGACCTCGTATCCGTATCTCTAGCAGTCTAACTTACTTTGTATTGCTGCAAAATCCCCAAAGGATGTCTTTTCGTTGAGTCTTCAAGTAACTCTTGCTTGGTTTTATTTTGCTCCAATTTAAAAAGCACCTGGGAACTTTCTTGTATCCTACAAAATAGCTTTTAAAACAAAAGCAAAACATAGGTAAGGCAAGACTCGTTGACAGTTAAACAAGGGAAAGGGGGATTTTCAGCGTGTTTTCCAGATCATATTGCTTTTAATTTCTAAAAGTTTTGCACGCAGTATAACACAGAACAGATCCTTCTCTCTCCACTCCAAAAATCATTTTTTGCTCCCCATCTCTCGTGACCAACTTTTTCCCCCCTCCCTCTGCACTTCCAACATCTTCTTCCATTTTCCTCCTTAAATTCATGCCAAGTCTTCCCCTCCCACGTCTTCAATTTCCATGGAACATGTGTTCCTCTATTAAAAAAGCTCAATTAATGCATATAATTTTTATAGCTTCAGTGTCTTTTACAGAGTTTGACTCGCCTCAGGAGTGCTTCCCCTAGCTCTTTTATTATTCACTGGTGTTATTTCATTTCTTATTACACTCCCGCTAACACAATTTTTCCATCTCATATTCCTCAGTCTGCACCAGACAAGAATGGAAAGAGATAGACTTCTCTTTCATTTCTGACCAACCTATTCCCTCATTTTTCCCCTGTCTCAAATTAACTATTTTCTCCTTCCACACTGCTTTCCTTTGTCATTAACATCTTCCAAAACGTTCTTCATACACACATGGTTTCCTCATTTTCTCTATATCCTTCTACCATGATCTTGGCAACTTCCACAACGTTGACACACTCAGTCCCTGCAGACTATAACAGCACAAGCCACATGTCGTGCTGTTCTCTTAATGTTCCTCTGCCTTTTCTTCCAACTCAGGTTGCTGAAGCTGATCAAGTGGCTGTGAATTTGCGTGAGGTCTGGTAAGTCTACATAAGCACACTCTTAGTCCACAACAAAGGCAACACAACGTTCATTTCTTACTCTACGGCACACTGCTTTGCTGTTGGTAAAGTATGCAGGTTAATTAACACTCACTACCATTCATGACCAAGTTACTGCTTCTATCACTTAGTCTCTTGCTTAAGCCATCCTTGCCTGCGATGGCTTATCACCATTCAGTTGTGTAAAGCACAGAACATAGCCCTGGTCTTAGAGCTTCTACTCTTTCAGATAAGCAGCTTCATAACATGCTCAGTAGAATTATTTTTTTTTTAATGATATATAACTAAAGTAATAGGCACATTAGACATTGTTTACAGATTGAAATTACCTTTCTCAGTAAAGAACTTATCTGCTGTCTTACTGAAGGAGACTGGCTGTTCAAGTTGTACATCATAAAAAATTGAATTAGTTGCATTTCTTCCAAAGACACAATTTCCGTGCTACGATGGGTTTCACAAAGTAAACCTAAAGCATCAACGCAAACCTGAAAGACATTTCGATGTTAACCACAAAAGAGTTACAGGAATCTAGGATGACACCTTTGTTTTAAAACAATGCTGACACAGTATTTAGGATCGAAGCAATGATTCTAATTTAAAGACAAAAAAAAAAAGTTGAAAAAGTTGTCCCTTTACCTGATTGTGCTGATGAACTAGACCCTGTTTTACACATTCAGTGGATACAAGACCACTACTCATGATACTTGAAAGTTCTAGGTGTCCGTGAGCCCTAGCTGCTCTTAGGCATGCCATTAATGCTCCAAGAGCTCCTCTAGTACTGCGAGAGCCTGAAGAAAATGAAAACCAGTAATAATTATGGTTTGATTAACACAAACAACATACTAATTGAAACGGTCGTCAAAAACTCCCGATACTTCCAACACATGACCCCTACCTCCCCCTTTTATTTTTTACCCCAAAAACCCCAAAAGAGTGTCACAGATAAAACTAGTTCTAAATCGCCTGGCTCCCAAAAAGCTTTGTCTTGAACATGTCCTACGAAAAAAAGGACCTTCTGAGGTCTCACAAGCCTTTATTTTAGAATTACACTAAATTACGTCAAAACCCACAAAAGAACCATAAATCTCGTATCCACATATTTGCAACAAAAAACAATCTGTAAAGCCCTGTTAGTGGACACGCCTGCGTACGAAATAACAGCAGAACAGAAAAATAGTAGAAAAAAATAGTGATATTTAAAAAAGCTTGGCATGTACAGAGAACAGTAAGGCACTCACAGTTAGAATACTAATTATTTTGCTCATGGCATGAAGACAATCTTATAATTAACATGAATTCCACCTTGAAATACTAACAGCAATAACCACCATCTGGAATTTTTCTCCCACATTAATTCTAATAATAGACCAGAAATCACATTTCCAAGATTATTTTTTTAAAAAAGTCATAATTACAAATATGGTATTTATTTTCTTACCTAGATTAGCATCTGCAGAAGCCTGAAGAATTCTAATCATGTAGCTCAGACTGTCAGGGCTACATTTAAGCAATTTTGGTAAATAGTAATCTATTATATAAGTAGTTTGGTCATGGTTCCCTTCACATAGTATTGCTAGAAGAGGAGACACCCAGATGTCATGCCATTGGTCAATCCAAGTACTTTCCTGAAAACTCGAAGTAAAATGGGCTTTGTGATTTGTAAACATGGTTTCCAAAAGATCAGTAGCATAGGGTGCAAGAGATTGATCACTCATCACATCCAAGATTTGTAGGGGAATTGTTCTGTCCAACTGTAGTATATTCTCAGTGCCCACATACTCCACAAGACAGCCAAGAGAAGCGTATTTTCCTTTTACATGCCATTCCAAGCTTAGTAAACTCTTTATCAGTCTTGCAAAGAACGGGTCAGATTTTTCATTCGATCCAGTAATGGTGGCTCGGTGTATCTGAAGAAGATTCTTGAATATTAATTTTGTTTGGTGTCTAACAGCATCCAGAGGGTGTTCCCAGTGTGTATAAATGTATCCCAGCAGCTTCCCAAGTACATCTGAGTTCCCATTAAGTTTGATTTTTAGATTTGGAGAGCCTGAAACGAGGGCAGCCAGTGCTGAGTTAGTCCAAATAGCAAGGATTCTAGACAAAGACGCTGCCATACTGGATTCTTTTAACCTTTTAAAAAGAACAGACAAAAGATTTCATTATTGGCATTTGTCAATTTTTTTAAAAAAATAGGTTTTTAATTTAAAAATAATTATTCATCACACTAGATTACCTTGCACTAAAATAGGTAAGGAGACACTAACCATTCATCAAAGAAAAGGAACTAACACAAAAAGGAGGAGATGAACTGGATGCTGCAAAGTGTTGTATGCTTAGTTACTTGACGTGCTGTCAACTGGTCACAGCTACGTCCTGATTTCGGCCGAGACAGAGCTAGTTTTCCCTTTAGCAGCCGGAAGAGCTCTGTGTTCTGAATTTAGTCTGGGAGTTGTTATGAGAAGAATGTTGATAATGCACTGATGTTTATACTGAGACATCAGGGACCTTTCAGCTCCCCATGTTTTTGCCAGGGTGAAGGAGCACAACAGGCTGGAGGGGAGCAGAGCCAGGACAAAGGGCCCACAACTTCCCTTATCATTTGAACTTAGACTTAAGATTGAGGGCCAAATTAGCCAACAAAGTATTCCATATCACACAATATCATGCCCAGTATAGAGATAAGGGTTGACCGGGAAGAAGGGCTCTTGCTCTTCCAGGACTGCTGTTCCAAGGACTCTCTCGGACTCTCAGAATTCTCTCTCTCAGACTCTTGGAGTTCTCTCTCTCTCTTTTTCCTCCTAGGTGTCTCACTCATCTAGGATTGCAGTGTTGGGACTTAACTGTTTGGAATCGTTTGCCGGGACAGGACAGGTGTCCATCACCAGGTGGTGAGCAATTACACTGTGCATCACTTGTTTGTGTATATTATCATCACACGCATATATATATAAACTTATTATTATTGGGTTTAATTATTACTCTTAATTTCATAGTATTGTTATTATTAAATTGTTCTTATCTCAACCCACAAGTCTCCTTCCCTTTTCCCCTTTAATTCTCTTCCTCATTACCTGGGAGTGAGGGAAGGTGAGCGAGCAGCTGTATGGCATTTAAGTTGCCAGCCGGGCTAAACCACAACAAGCTAAAAGCCCTAACTGTGGGGAAAAGAACCTGACAAGTCACTTCGCTATTTTAAAAACAAAAATAAAAATTAATATCCAAATGCTAATATTTGAGCAGCATTATCTTGTTGCATGCTTCTTGAAAATATAAGCAAAACTTTTCATTGCCATATAAAGCCATAAAAAATGAGTATCACATGTGCAAAAACAAAATCAAAAAAATGACCTCCACGGCAGGAACACAAGTTGAACTCAATACACATTTTAATCTCCTATCCAATAGTGCTAGTAGTCCACATCAGATGCAAGCAGGTCAATGCCTGCAACCAGGAAAAAAAAATTAAAACTCATCTTACTATAAATATTCCACTCATTGGCACACTTTGTTTTCTTCTGTACTTTCAAAAGCACAGGAGGTGATGTCCTGAAACTGAAGTTTATCCATCTTCAAAACAACTGATCTGCCACACTTTACCATCAGTGTAAACTAATCCCACTCATGTTGGAAAAACAAGATTTCATTTTAGCATGCAAGAGAAAACTGTAACTTAGAACTAGCCAGGCAATATCGAGACATTATATTTTTTTCAACTTATAGAGTTATTCTGAATATATTAAAAAGATTACACAACCTGTGGCAGAAACTAATATCATTACACTGGAAACATCAAAGAGATATTCCACCAGGAGCATATGAGCCACACAAAAATACAAATAAAATGATTGACTCCCTCCTCCCAAACATGAAACAACACAAATCAAAACTCAGGCTTACTCTGAACTCAAAGACAACAAGACTGATGCAATATCTAATAATAGTTTCTCTCCATTGTCACCCATGCTGCCATTCTTCCATTCCAGCATAGCCAGTGCTCCATGGCAAAGAAAGAGAAGGACCGAGTCAGGGAGTTCTTCCATACACAGAGTCTCACAGTTACTCACGAACCACGCGGGCACATCTGCACGTTGCATTGACCCAAGAAGCAAGTCACTGACCTGTAACAGCAAAATAACACCCATTACAGTATCTCAGCACAGGAGAAAAGCTATTTTGTGCATAACTGAGACTCTCAGAAGATCTGAAAAGATTTCTTATACATTGTTTTCTCAAATTCAAAATCCTAGTCTTATTATTTCATACAGCAAAGAGAATAAAGGATTTACACCCCAGCAAAAGGCTGATACAGAGATTGGCAAGTCCTGCTAGACCTACCAGCAAAGTCTCTGAACAATACTGGTAGCGCTGATTAACGACACTATGACATTTCACAGTCTGTAGTGAAGAAATACACTTACCAAGGAAGGTAATTCTTCAACTGGCTCATACATAGCTTTAGTAAACAGAATAACAGCCAGTCCTGAGGTAGTCTGAACAGTCTGCAGGAGAGTTGCTACAGGGCACAGAAAGATATTTTACATTAGAGTACAGCAAACATTGTGTGCTAGAACTATATACTGAAATTGTAAAGAGATGGTATTAAATTTTCCAAGACTGCTTGTAGTTGTACAATCACAAATCTGTAGCATCCACCTGAATATCAAGTATTAATGAATTTATACTCTAATGTAATAGTAAACTATTAATACCTTTTAACAGACAGAAAATATAGAACTGTCCAGTAAGACAAGGACGACTGTGGCAGAGCCTACTGACATTTATATTAAATTCTACCAGACAAAAATATCTAAGAAGTAAAATCAATTAGTTATAGTGCATCAATAAATAGTTCTGACAGTATAATTCATATAGATATATAAAATTTAGGCAGGCACAGACATTTGGTGAATCTCAAAAGTATTTCTGTTATTTCTAAATTACTAGTATTAGCATTTACTTTGGTTTTTTGTAGCAGGGTAAGTTAAACTGTACACTCAAAAATTATGATCTACAAACCATAGCCCACCCGAAGACCTACTACTGCTGCCACTTCCGTTAATCTTAGCAGTTCAATTTCTGTTCAAGCTAAACTAAGTTTTTATACATACAGGTTGTGTTTACTACAAAGACAACAAAACTGACTTCATAAAAACACACGGTTACTAAACTTACCATCCATTAGGAAGTTTGTGGAGCTTTTCAGTAGACTACACATACTTCGCCAAACAAAAGACTCATGGTGTTTCCAAAGACTTCCCTGGATATTTTCTTGTAATTTCTGTACAAGCATCATTGAAACTTTAATGGCTATCAATAAATCGTGCATCAACTGAGTCTGAACAATACGATTTCCCTGATTTTTTCTGTGGGAAGAAAAAGATAGACATGCACACAATAAGGAAATGAAAATTATTCTCCATCACCAGCAGAAAACTACATTCTGTCAACTTCAGATAAAATTAATGGTAAAAACTAATTTTTTTTTTTAGTTGACCAGATACGTAGCCATAGGAAAACAAGAAGTAGATTCAAGGGCAGTGTTTTAAAATGAAGTTAAACGTACTGACAAATTCTACTAGTTTCTGCAGGTTCCTGTGACAAACTTTCACTCATTTGATTCTGCCTGAGCAGAGGTGAACTTTTCCAGAAACTTTCCAGAAAGATCAAAAGAGCACAGTGCTGCTCCTTTCTCATTTTTCAAGCAGTTCTTCCACTTGCAAAGCGTATTTCTATGATTTGACTTACTTCTAATGTGAAGACAGAAAACACGTAAACTTTTAATGTACAAAACATTCAAAAGAACCCTTCTGCTCTGCATACATGATGAGAGATCACAGTGAAGAGGCTTCACTTTATGCAATGCTGGAAAACGTCAAGATATTAAATGATGACTACTGTGACAGACTAAACAGAATATCAATACTGAATTAAACACTCAAGGCAAGTTGAAGAGCATTACTCTACCTGAGTTTTAACAAGTGTAACTATTAATTACAGTCACAATTCAGAGAGCAAAACCACAACTCAAAGGCCTCCTTTAAAAGTAGTAGCTCTAAGAGTATCAGTGCCTTAAATATTACTGCTTTTAATTTTCCTCCTTCCTCTCTTATATCATCATATTGTCACAAAAGAAAATAAATTCATCAGCAGTTTTTATTTAAAATACATATCATTGTAAAATGATATTCCCATCTTTTATCAATGCATGGCTATCAAAGCGATATTCCAAACCCTATCAGATTACCTTGCAAGAGTGAAATAAAAACAGATAAAATACAGCTTATATTGAATTCACTTGCCTGTTTTCTTCCTGAATGTCAAGTAGTGACTTCTGCAGGAACTGAAGAACTAGTGAAAACAATTATGGTATGAATTTATTTAAAAGAGAAATAAAACAGAAAAATTCCAGCAAAGCAATCATACATAAACATCCTATCCAGACACCACAAACTTTATCCATATGGTGTGTTTCTTCCACTCCATAAACAAATTCAACTGAAATTACAGTGCAGATCCAAATGTAAGATGCTGAAGCAAAACCTCAAGCTGGTTTGTGACAACCTGCTACAAAACAAGAGCTTCCAAACCACTTTGCCTAACCCTGTGAGGTACTGAGAGTTCTCATTCCTCAACGAAAAGCTGAAACTACCAAGGGCTAAAGACAGAGCAGCAATAAAATGTCCACAGGAAGCTGTGAACATTATCTGCATAGTGAGGGCACAATATGTCAAGTTATCCCCTATTACCAGCAGATCAGACTTCTGCCAAATTATTGCCAAACAAAACTCTTGCCACAGCAGGCCTGGGCCTGCTATAGTCAGGACTGGCTGGTAGCAGCTCAGTGTTATCACATCCAATTTCATCATGAGGCACACGACAGAGAATACTTCACGTAAAGTAACATGGACTCCCTCAGCCCTTTTAAAAAACACTCACTGGTATCTCTTCAGATTTATATCTAGGACTGCTCAACAAAGCCAGATTGACCTTGACATTAAAGGTACAAATCAAGAGAAAGTCTTTGACAAAAAAGTATCATGTGAGGGTACTAGTTATTAAAAATTAATTGAGTGGAAATCAGATCTGATACAACTTTATGTCTACCTCATGTTACTTCTCACACAATCCTCCCCCCAATAACCTACAGTGAAATTTATTTTACCATAAATAAACTTTACCTTCTTCAAACAGGTTCTTAATACTTGCTCTACCTAGAGGAAAGAAAAGACATTTTAACTAGTGAATACTAGCCAATACCATGTATTCTACATAGATAAATATGTAAACATTACCATTAGGTGCTGCACCAAGATGCAAACCAATGCTGAGCAAGTTAAAACAGAAGACAATACATTCAATGTCATCATACCTAAGGTGAAGTCCTCCATACAGGAAGCAAGGTTGTCCAGTACTTTTCTGTACAAATATATATCTGTGGTTTTCAGTTCTTCCCTAAGGCAGCGTACAAAGCTTTGTACAGCTAACGTCATAAACTCTTCAGGAAGACGGTTTAGTGAACTGCAACAGTAAGAAACGGCACGACTGGTTAGCTCACACCGTGGTGGTTAAATATCCATCCGCTTGACTAAATTCCATGTCAGCTAAAACTCCAGGAACAGACAGATGTTGATTCCTGCATGAAAACATGCAGCTAGAAAATCTGTCAAAGGGGTGTAAAGCTCTGGCATCCAACCAAGTACAGGGTGGAAGCCCTGCTTCTCTCTGGGACAACAAATGTTTTTGGACATAGAAATGAAGACAGCTAAGCACTGGATCTTAAAAATGTTAAAGCTGTAATAAATTCTCTAAAGAACTACAACAGTAATTTTGCAACAGAAAAATGTAATTGCAATAAAAATAGGCACAAGAAATCACCGTTTAGTTATGATTCCTCTGAACAGTATTCTCTTTACACTGTCAAAGTTGAGATTTTTTTTTTTAACAGACGTATTTTAAATTTATACTCTAATATTGGATTTTAAAATTCAAAGTGCTAATTATACATTATGTTGTCTTTTCAGTAATGAAACAGATCAAAATAACATTTCATTTGGAAGTTATTTATCCAGTGATATCTTTTATTATTTAAGATTTTTAACTAAGCAAGAAAAACAGTACATATTCACATATTAGTATCACAAATTTTCAGTAATTAAACAACAGCAATTTGTAGTGCATGACAAATTACTGACTTCTAGGTAAAAAGAGCGTTTAAAAAAAAAAAAAGGCTTACTATTCAATTTTTTACCTTGCTAAGACTTTTTTCAAGGGATTCTTCACACTCAGTGAAAAATACATCTCTCCCAAAACATCCAAACAAGCTTTAACCATGGGATCACATGCAGAGTTTTGATACATCTTCTTTATCAATGGCGTAATCTATAATTGACAGAACACACGATCAACATATCCAAACAAGCTTTAACCATGGGATCACAAGCAGAGTTTTGATCCATCTTCTTTATCAATGGCATAATCTATAATTGACAGAACACACGATCAACAAAAACTCTGGAGATTCCCTCACCACTAGCAGAGGCAGAATTCCCTCTCATCCAAGTAACCCTCATCATTAGCAGAGGCAGAATTCCCTCTCATCCAAGTACATGGTGCAAAACTGTCCTCTCTTTACCACATCCTGTGGAGTTTCAGGTATTGAATAACATTCCAAGAACACCTCTAATACCAAAAATACATACACAAAAACAAGGAAACTTGGTATCACTTGCCTTCTATCACTTTCAGTAACCGTAGCTCCTGGTAATTTAAGGACTAGAACTACATTTCTGCCTTATCCTGTGGAGTTTCAGGTATTGAATAACGTTCCAAGAACACCTCTAATGCCAAAAATACATACACAAAAACCAGGAAACTTGGTATCACTTGCCTTCCATCATTTTCAGTAACTGTAGCCCCTAGTAATTTAAGGACTAGAACTACATTTCTGCCTAACACATGTGAAGTGGCAACAACTGCTTTTTACCTGTTTCCAAGAATGTTTGAAACTTCATAGATTTTATTTTAGAATTGTATTTCCCATTAACAGTGCACATGACACGCAGTCAGTTACCAAAAGCTACAGTAACAACAGCGAAGCCTTACTTGTTTAATGCACTGGATCTGCTGGATGCCATCACGCAGCTGTGCGCAGCGGAGAAGCAGAGATGCCAGGTTTTGCTCTTCAGCCTTTGAAAACTCTACATTTGGAAGAAGAGTCTCTTTTTAGAAAGGAATTACAATAAGCAGTACAAACATCATTCACAATAAGAAATCACTGCTTAATTCTTCATTTTTTCCTATTCCAGTAAGCCTACTGGTGCCACAATCCCTTAAGTCACCTTACGACACCTTAACACCATGTTTTTTTTCTAATAAATGAAAAAAAAATACAAATTTCACTGTAATGTAATAGTAGGCCTCATCTTCAGTATGAGGACCAGTTTCACAAAATCACAGCACTGCCGAAGTTGGAAGGGACCTCTTGAGGTCATTGGGCCCAACCCCACTGCTCAAGTTGGGTCACCTGCAGCAGGCTGCCCAGGACCATGGCCAGATGGCTTTTGAGTACTTCCAAGGATGGAGACTCCCCAGCTTCCCTGGGAAACCTGTGCCAGCGCTCAGTCACCCTCACGTGAAAAAAAATGTTTCCTGATGTTCAGAGGGAAGTGTTTCCTGATCTTCAGAGGGAACCTCTTGTGTTTCAGTTTGTGCCCATCGTCTCCTGTCCCATCACTGTTCAACAGGGAGAAAAGCCTGCCTCTGTTTTCTTTACGTCTTTCTTTCAGGTATTTTTTTTACACATTGAGAAAGTCCCCCATGAGCCTTCTCTTCACCAGGCTGAAGAGTCCCATCTCTCAGCCTTTCCTCATAGGAGGGATGCTGCAGGCCCTTCATCCTCTTAGTGACCCTTCACTGGACTCGATCTCCAGTATGTCCATATCTCTCTTGTACTGAGGAGCCCAGAACTGGATGCAGCACTCCACGTGTGGCCTCACTAGGGCCAACTAGAAGGCAAGGAGCACCTCAAAGTAACTTTAGTACATAAATCTTGTATTCCTTGTTTTTGGTTGGTTTGTGTTTTGTTTTTTTTTTTAAAGTAAAATCACTGCATATTTATCTCCCACAAAATAAATGAGCCTTTGAACAGTATCTTTAAATCAAGTTAATTACAGAAAATACAAAGGCTGGGAAAACACAGTCAAGATGATCTCCAGAGATCCCTTCCAATCGCGACCATTCCGTGATTCTTTGAAATTCGGTGTTATCTCACATATTAAGGCTAGTACTTCAGGCAGCACTGAATTACAGGCTTGCAAGTGGGATCACAAGACATTCTACCACCTTCATGTCAATGATAAAACAAAGCAAAAAGCTTTCAAACCAAAGGCATGGTGCTCTAAAGGATTCTTCTAGCTCTGGCAAGGTAAGAAGTCATTGTCATTACAAAATAAAAACAACCCACAAATAAGCAAACACACCTAAAACTCGCAAAACAAAACCACCAGAAACAAAACATAACAAGAAAAAAAAAAAGCAACCAGATCAATTTCAGTAGCTACTCAGACGCCTTCTACTAACAAAAAAATAAACTACGCGTTAGTTCAGAAAAAAACACTTACTCTGAAGTTTTTCAAGCTGGTGATGATCAAGAAAGAATGCATCTACCTGAATTTCCTTCTTCTTCTTTAAAACCATTTTAGCCGATTAAGAGATACCTGCTCAAAAAAAACCCCAAACACAACCCACCCCGGTCACATTGTTTTAAAAGCACAAATACAAACACTTTTTATGATAATGGTCTTTTGACTGTCCTCAAATGTTTATTGCATTACCTGTGCTTTTTTTTTTTTTTTCCAAAAGAACAGCATGCTCTACTTTTCTCCCCTACAACCACTTCAAGGGTTTTGCCCAAAATTCACCCAGACTTCATGGCACAAAATGGAACACACAGAAAACGGGATTTCAGAATTTGCTGGATGACTGACAAACTAACTGGAGATTTTACTGCACTTGTTATGTAGCCTGTGGCATGCCCCTGAATCAGGGTTCAAAAACATCACGCAGAAGCGTGGGAATTACATCACAAAACTTCTGTTGCTCTGTTTTACCGTTCAAAACTCATTTGACTTGTATTAATGTAAAGTTAGAACTGTGTAGCAAAGCGGTTTTGTTTCTTCACAACATATCGAGCAGTTCTGTGCTCGATAATGGAGTATAATGGAGGTTACAAATACCAAATTATTTTTCTTCTTTATGGTAACGGCAATTTAACATACACTGCAGTTTCACTGACTTAGGAGCTCGTTATCACAGAACAGCTGAGGTGGGAAGGGACCTCTGGAAGTCACCTGGTCCAACCCCCTGCTTCAGCAGGGCCACCTGGAGCCTGTTACCCAGGACCACGTCCACGTGGCTTCTGAATGTTTGTCTGGACAACCCGTGCCAGCGCTCGGGCACCCTCACACCACATCTGCTGCTTCCTGATGGTCAGGGGGACCCTCCTGTGTTTCAGCCTGTGGCACCACCGAAGAGAACCTGGCTTCGTGTTCCTTGCACCCTCCCTCCACGCATTTACACACACGGATAAGACCACCTGGTCTGTTATCCAGTCCCAGTAGTGATCATGTAACTCCACGTATTTGCTTCTAAGAACAGGCGGCCTCAGCCTTTTCCCCCGGCAGCGGGCACACACGACAGCATTCCCCAGCGCGACAGCGCCCGGCCGGGCAGCGAGGCCGGTGCCCGGGTGCGGTAACAAACACGGCC